CTTCTCTTGGCCAAATTAGAGAATTCAGAAATTAGAGATTCGCAGTTAAGATGGTTCCAATCCTATTTTAGCGAGAGGAAATTTTCGGTTCGAGTTCTTGACAAAATGTCAATGTGCGACAAGAAACTGTAAATCTGGTGTTCCACAAGCAGTGTCTTATCACCAGTTTTGTTCGCTGTATACACTATTGACTTACCTCACTTCCTCATCGTTGATCCCAAAATTAGGGTTGCCATGTATGCTGACGATGTTAAGATCTATATCGCTTATGACCAGAACGACAAGGTTAATGCTGATATTGCATTTGTAACTCGATTTAGATGAATGCTTGAGCTAGCATATGGAATACCAAGGTGAATATTCCAAAAGCTGCACTATTCCTATTGGAAGAACGCTTATTGAACCGGAAAAAAATCTGATAATGCAAGTTTCTGATCAAAAATCTGGGCATTTATACTGATTCGAAACTTAGATATTCTACTCATATTGACGAAAACAAAGCGACCCGAATACTCTATGAACTAATGCGCACCGTTCAATCCACCGATCTCAAGTCTTTAGTGAGAATTTGCAAATGTTTTTCCAGTGGTTGGATACTACAGCTATGTGTTCCTACCTTGAAAAAAGACATTGAAAAATTATAAAAAAAAATCCAGAAAACCATTACCAAATTTGTATTCTATCGTGCCTACATTAATGCAAATTATCCTTTCAATCTACCTGATTATAAGACTAGAATACGCAAATTAGGTCTCAAAACACTTTTCTGTAGAAGAATTTTAGCAGACATTCTGATGGCCTTCAAAATTCTACGAATTGAGGTAAGTTTGAAACCCAGTAAATACTGGTTTTTTCGACCTATTAGTGAACGCCGAGCTTCTTTCAATTTGACTACTTCTAGATTTGGCAGGTACAATGTTTCACTACAACGTAACAATTTCTTTTATCGAGCAACCTCAATTTTGAACAAGCTACCGCCTTCTTTCTTATCTATGAATTCAAGTGCTCATTTGAAGAACGCTTTGAAATAAGTAGATATTCTTCAACTACTGGGAATGGAGGACGTTGTATGATACTATCTTTACACCATGTTTTGGAGGTGGAATGCAAGTACCTTTAGTTCCTTTCCTTTAGTTCTGCTTTCAATCGTATAGCTCTCACCGCTAGGAACCTTTTTTTTAACAAACGTGAAGTAGCTCTTGTCTTACTATCACTGTGAAAGTACCCAATCCTTATGATTCACGCACTGACTCAGTCCTACACACATGTCTATCATTCCCAATGTTAGACACTTTGATCTTACAATCACTTATTAGTTCGTTTGCGCAAACACGGAGGAAATGAAGCAAAAATTCAACGCATGTACAGGGTGGGGCAAAAGTCTGGGAGCCTACTTTGCAGTGCTGTCAATCAAACAACTACTGATGAATTTGGCTCCAAACTTGAGCCACTTATTGCTACGATCATCCTCTACAAATCACACTCTGAATGGCTGAAAATGCTTGCCACATGTTTTTGTAGGAATTAGATTTATCAAACAAATGCTTCTGCAAAGCGAAAAATGGAAATTTTTTTTGGTCTTCACAACTTATTTCATAGCTAAAGATACAGTGGATATTCTAGAGCAGCTCAATGTACACAATGTAGAGAAGACCTTGCGCTATCAGCTCGTAGTCTTTGCGTTTGTCAGATATCATTCTTTCGAAAACGCAAAATAAAAATTTGCGAATAGAACCTGCGTGCCAGTGGCCATTCTTCTTTAAAAATAAATTTGAAAGCTATAGGAGCACAGCAGGCACTGAATTCTAGGCTATATTCTTTCCATGAGTCTTCTATGCAAGAATGTACTTGAGTTCGATCGATTAAGCAATTTCAATACTTTTCAGATTACGATTCTTCGCTCCCGTTCGCGCCATCGCATCCATATTTCCAGTATGCGAGTACACTGGCCTTCAATAAAAATTCCAGAATTTTTCCTAAACACTGCCAAAAAAATTTCCTCGCAGCACGTTGTAGCCAAAAGCTTGCTCTATCACATCACATGCTTGCCTGGTGAAAGCAACAGTTATCGTAAAGGCGTGGGACGAATTTTATCACGACTGCGTGCCACGACAGGCGGAGTTACCAACATTTCGAAGGGCTGCTATAAGCCAAAAGAGGCAATCTCAAAATTCGAAAGCAGCGCTGTACTTGCACAGGTTCGATTTATGTGTACACCGATTTTTTTATTCCTAGGCACTTTCCTTCTGATTTTATCTGAAAAAGTATTAGGCTCCCAGACTTTTGCCCCACCCTGTATGTATTAGGTAGTCCGGAAATTAATGCAGGTTTTGAATTCCAACCGCAATAAGTCATACACTTCTCATTTCTAAGTAGGATGCAATACATCATTCGATAGAGCAAAGCAAGCTCTACAAGATGGCGGTCTTGATTTTGCAACAGCTCTAATCCACCACGAGTTTCGAGCCAAAAACTAAAAAGATTCAACTACTCAAAAAATCGTAACTCAGTTCATAAAAATCCTACAGAATTCTAACTCGCTCACGTAAACACTGTCCACATAAGACGTATATGTACGCCGTTGCCGTATTTTTTTCTCGGTTAGACACCAAGAAAACGAAGATTTTCATGTTTCTGCCAAAGTGATCCTGTGCCGTTCCCACATAAGTAGTTGTATACTACTTTACCTGTAGAAGTACAAACGTAAATTTCCAGCTCTCTACAAGCTTTAGTTTTCGAGAAATATCGAATACACTTTTCCTAGTCATGTGGTTCAAGCTAAAATTCAAATTTCTCGAGAACTGAAGCTTTTAGAGAGCTGGAAGTTTACGTTTGTACTTCTACAGGTAAAGTAGTATACAACTACTTATGTGGGAACGGCACAGGATCACTTTGGCAGAAACATGAAAATCTTCGTTTTCTTGGTTTCTAACCGAGAAAAAAATACGGCAACGGCGTACATAGATGTCTTATGTGGATAGTGTTTACGAGAGCGAATTAGAATTTTTGTAGGATTTCTATGAACTGAGTTACGATTTTTCTCGATTTTTTGAGTAGTTGAATCTTTTTAGTTTTTGGCTCGAAACTCGTGGTGGATTAGAGCTGTTGCAAAATCAAGATTGCCATCTTATAGAGCTTGCTTTGCTCTATCGAATGATGTATTGCACCCTACTTAGAAATGAGAAGTGTATGACTTATTGCGGTTGGAATTCAAAACCTGCATTAATTTCCGGACAACCTAATATGTATATATGTATAATGGACAATGGATTGATGGATGGATCAATAGTTTGGTCGATGGATTGACTACTGCATCACGTACCACCAAAAGTGATTTCGTATATCTCCGTGTTCTTGAGCAATATGTTCTACTAACCATTATACTGATATGGGATCAAAGCTTCTAACAATGTGTTATATCTTTCAGTTCGAAACCATGACCAATCACCTACAAAACCCATCTATCAAAATGTCCATACTACGCGATATTTCTCACATTACCAACAATATATGTTCGCATAATTACAGTTTCCGTTCTCATCACCTGTCCTCTCGGATTTTAGAGATTTTAGATCACTGCCGGGAGATACTGTACGAAAGCTATAGCCGAAAGCTAGAATTTGATCAATCTTGCATTTTTTCTCCCATTAGTTTGATTGAGTGCAGTTCTTTCGTTTATTAACTACGATTGTATGATAGCACATCGCTTGTTCGATGTATTTTATATAAATATAAATAAATAAGTCTGGTGATTGGAGATGACAGCAATGCGACTTCAAAGGTCTTGAAGGGTAAGTGTTGTTCTACAGAGAGTAAAGAAATCAGGTTGATATGAGCAGTGGCAGCCGAGAACGAGAATTTTAAAACTAAATATTTTAGATTGCTTTGTGACAGCTGACATTTAAACGATAAATCTGGAGTGTGAAGGTATGCGATGTTGCGACTTCATAGTTGGATTCTTCTCTTCAGGAGCTTTCAAATGATACGTAATATGTGGAAGGTCCAGTGATTTTGCGGCTCTAACCGCAGTTGAGACTTTTTATAACACAGTCACCGCTGGCGGCCTGCAGCCAATACATTGAATGGGCGAGGTGGAGACTTTGGGATGAAAAGCCTCCATACCGGGTTAGAGCCGCAAAAATCGCTGGACCCCCCACATATTACATATCATTTGAAAGCAAGTGGAGGAGAATCCAACCTATGAAGTCGCAACATCAATCATGCAATTCTGGAGAAGTTATAAACTGTTGAATTTTGAAAAGCGGGGTTTTACCTGTTTTTTTTTCAAAAGCCTGGATTTCGGCGGATTCTCAATGGATCGGTACGGCTAAGAATACTTTGGTAGGGCAAACCCTACCCTACAAAACCTTCAGAGTCGCAACATCGCAAAGCTTCACACTCCAGATTTATTGTTGAAATGTCAGCTGTCACTAAACACCTAAAATCGCTCAATTTTTCAAAATTCTCATTGTCGGCGACCACTGCTCATATCGAATTGATTACTTAAAGGCAGCGTACGGCCAAAATCTCGCTACCAAGGTTTTGACGTTTTCTGGGCTAAACGGTGCTGTAGAAACCGAATATTAGCTTCAAATCTCATGAATTTTCCAAAAACTGCCTTTTTTGAACCTTCCCAACTTATAGGCTGGACGAGTGATTGCAGAGTGGCGTACTCTCTCAGGGCAGAGACGCAGAGTGTCGCTTTGTTATCTGGAATGTCGTTGTGCGCGCGCTATTGATTCAGGTACCTTATGTGCATTTCTATTCATGTCGAAATGGGAACGCTTTCGAAATACCCTCACGACGTAATTGTGCCGAATAGTACTGTTAGATCTTTAGATCTCCTAAAGTTGCTTCCTTCATCATATTCATCGCCTTCGTGTTTGTTCCGCTTCTGGATGAAGTTGTCTGTTGATCTCTGTTGTAATTGAAGAATCTGTCAATCATTACTAATCTCATGTTACAATTTTTTCTTCTTTTCTAAATGATTGTTTTTCAGGCTGGGCTTAGGGTTGTCGTTGTGTACTCTGCTGTCAGCGCCGAACGCTGACAGCAGAGTACACAACCCTAAGCCCAGCCTGAAAAAAGCGCCTGATTGCCAGAGAAGAAATGGCTAAGTCGAGGTGTGTTTTTTTCTGCTGTGTTTTGTTTTTGTTCTTCTTCACTTACCTTTTTCGTGCCATTCATCATCATTTTCTTAGGTTTTTGATCAGTGCCGATTCGAATGGCTCGTATGCTCTCAATTCCTACATGGTTGAAATGCACAAGCTTTGTACACCAAAGCTTTTGCAGGTGGATCACCTCTCATCAGGAAATTTCTATTTCTAATCTATCAGTACCTTCAACAGAGTTGTTTATAAACGAGCGGTGAGTGAAATCCTCTTTTTTAGATCGTTTTTTACATTTGAGGAGTACAAAGTACATTGTACACTGGAATACACCATTGGCTTGGCCTTTTGCTAGGCCAACGATGTTGTTACAAATGAATGACATGTCGTGAGTAATATAAGGTTGGGCAACAATCATAATGCTAAGCTTGACAGCAGTTGCCGGTAACGTGCAACTGATCACTAACAAGCTCTGTACATATCTGACCATGGGTAGCCATAGGTGAGGATATCTCTTGCGAGGAGCATCGATTTTTGTGCATACCGATTGCAGCCAGGTGACACCGCTGTTTCTAGCTCCTATTTGCTACTGTTTCTAACTGCGTTCTATCTGCGAGTTATGGTACGATACTTGCTTTCTGTGAAACTTGTTTTTTCATCGTGAATGATGTTTCTCGCCGTTGTATGGTTTTCATTGGAAAGGGTTTGGTATTGACAAAAGACCTTTTTTTTTGAAACCTTGTAAACTAATCTTTTCACTTAGTCACTTTCAACTGAATCTCCATTTGGTCTAAGTTGAACAGATGCGAGGCTAGATTGCTTTTGCATCCAAAACGTAATCTTGCGTAGCAGCTATGAGCAGCTAGAGACAGGGGAACAGGGTGATTCGTCACTGTTATTATTCCATGGTCAAGCATGTATAGAGCCTAACAATGAACATGTATATCACGACGATAAATATAATATATGAATAACAACTTATAGGGAAGCCAACTACTAGAGAGTTCGTGACCAATACCAGCATCATTCATTGCCAGTGTACCCTACCAGAGCACCGGAAAGAAGCCGAACGACTACGGAATGGTTGTTGGAGTTGTTGCTATGACGGTAAGTGTGCACATCACATCTGCTTTATCACTTATTTTCTTTTGTTTTTCAATTCATGTTCTTCGTTTTTTTTGTGAAAAGAGATTGCAGGCATATCTCTAGGTTTTTTCATTATGCGCAACACGTGTTCTAGTTTTATCTGTTTCCCTCAGCATATCGAAATGACATGCTCGGTTCTTTACGTGGTACCCCTTCTGTAATGCTAGTAATGCGTCTTGTTTTGCCGATACGATTTAGTGTGATATCCCACTTGTGGTTTTGGGGACTGATTGGACGTTTTGGACGTTTCGGGGACGTTTTTTGATTGGAGAACCGGGAGGAAATCAAAGTTGCAGAACCGATCGTGGGCCATATCTTTGCAGTCTAAGTGGTTGCGTTGTTCACTACGAGTGTTACTTGTTGTCAACCGGGCATTAGTGATTGCCAAAACCGATGTATTCGGTTACTAACATGTACCGCTTACTAACCGTATACATCGTTGATAACTTCCGCAGTCATCAACACATGGAGACCCAACAATATATCTTTTGTCATTTCAAGTGTAGTCGTGCATTCTCGATGTGTGGGAGTTATTGTCAAGTATCCATGGTTTCTTCCGATGCTTGCTGGGATGGTACGGATGGCCCAGCCCTCTGACATCTGAACTCGGTGAGAATCTCGTTTCTCCACATGTGGGGTACTGGTGTTTTTATAGTCATTGTCGACGGTTTAACTGAATTTCCGGGTTACAGTGCAAGTCCGCGCTACACCTCTTTCTCCGCGTATTTCGGCCATACGCAATTCGTTCATGTGCAGTGTTGACATCTGCACATAAGTTGGATACGTACCTATTGGCCTGAAAGTTCAAAAGGAAATGATCTTATTTGTTAGGGTGCCTTAACATGCTAAGGCAGAAACTTACAAGTTTAGTTCTTTAGGACAGTACAACCTGTCCAGTGAGTTTTTGGACTCACACCAACTGGTCCCTCCATAGGGACTTGTGTGGGACAAGTCATCCTGGAATTCCCGTTGGAGAATTATAGATTTTAATTGGTTATGCGCCGGGCTTCCAGTTGGTATCACCGGTTTGTCTCTACCGTCTTCCTCCAGTGCTTCGTAAGCACAGCTAGTGAGCGTCCTTGTATCTGCATCCTAAATTATGTCCTTCCCTGTGTTGCTGTTTTATAGTTGACCGCACGGAATCGTCCGGAATGAGCACTTGCGTGCGTGTCTCTTGCGGGCTAACATTGGCATTTGCGCGCATGTATCATCATAGCGCTCGTACTCGGCAGCCGTTGCAGGCAAGCTCGCGTGCGTTCAGCCTACAGCGATCCGGGCGATTTCGTGCAGGCGACTTTACCTGATTCCATGAGTGACAGTCGGCCACGTGATAAAGACAGGTATTGAATACCTGTCTTGTCAACTCGGGATTTTCGGTGCTTGCTCCCTGCCGTACCGCGTAGTACAAGTGTGCTTTGAGTGGGGTGATCCACTCTTTCAAACAAACGGAGTCTCTGCTTTTGGCTGTCTCAAAATCTGTTTCATAGCCTGTGTGCGGTCCGAGACAACTTACGGGGAGTGGGAGGGGACGAGGGATTTTTTTTTCAATGAATTGCCATTACGACATCGGAAGTTTTCAAGATGCTCTGAATTTTTATGAAAAATCATTACATTAGTCCATAATCTTGATATAGAAGTTTCGCGTTTCCCCCCCCCCCCCCCCCTCCCTCCCCTCCTTCTACACCTCCTCTACTATCCCTAGCTTTAAAACCTTCCACTGCTCATAACCTAATCCCAGCGACTTACCGCACGGATTTTAGCACTCAACCGCTTGGCGATATGCCATGTATCCAGAAGCCATGTGATGTTGGTGGCGTTCTCAGAATTGAATGCTCGAATCTCGCTCCCGTATGTGGTACTCCGATCTGTGGAGATTGAGCGCATGCCGATATTTTTGGAGCGGAACCAACGCATTTAAAACCTTCCTTCTCCATTCTTTCACTATTATGATCTAAAGTAATACTTGAACAGAAATTATCTGAGATTTGTAGGATTGCACCTGTTTCCGAGTAGTGCAATACTTTCGTGTGCACTACTAGTTTTGTCCGCTGGTCTATGGCCAGGACTTTGCAAATCGCAGCACTGTGTCCGCGAGAGTCAAACGACCCGTCTACTTGGATGTCCCAAGTAGACTGGCCATCGCTCTAAACACGGGCAAGTCATCATCATCTTCATATATACAATATACACATGTATATATATATCAGTGCCGAGCCGATGGAGTGGGGCGAGGGGGGGGGGGAGGGTCCCGAGAATGTCCGAAATTCTCAAAAGTTATTACATGAGTTATAAAATTGTGCAAGTGGTTTGTTAATTATTGTAAATAAACGAAATAATTCTCTAAATTTTTTGAAAATTCAAATAAGGTCTGTAAGAAAATTTTTTGGGTTTTTCTAGATTTGGGGGTTATGGGCCCGGAATGAGAAGCACCCTGAAAGCCGGCCACTGATACATAGATATATATACATTCGATTTTACATTGATTATATCTACCTCGTATTCGGACTTTATAAATCGAATCAGTGCGTTTTGGTGGGCTTCATACACGGTGGAAACAGCCTGGCGCATGTTAGTAAAAACCGAGTAGAAAGTCGATTTCGACGGGACAGCTACACCGGCTTCGTCTGCCCATTGCCTGATTTTCTGAAAAATTGCATTCATTGTCCGCCACTGCTCGATATGCATTATTACGTTCATGCGTACGCCAGTTGTTATTGCAGATGCCGAGCAGAGCATGTTCCCTGTAAACATCTTTTCCTGTGTGGCTGTGCCTACCCTATCCTGGCCTTCCCAGCGTTCAATTCCAGATTTTGAGCCGGGACTGGTATAATAGATTACGGGAGCTGTCCCGTAAGTTTCCAGCCAGACTCCATCGGCATTGTTTTGGCAGCCACACCGACTACGTAAGAAAAGCTCGAGAAGCTTGCGCCCGGAGACCAGGTAAAATTTGTCTAATGCTCCGGGTTCGCTTTCCTTCCGTGGAGCTTCATCATCGCTATCCGATAGCGCTGCTCTGAGCTTTTCCGGTGTGGGATGATAGGAGCTGTCCTGAATGCTCCCTTATCGGATTACGCTTTGATTTTGCTCGTTTCTTCCATTTTACAGACTAATCGTTACTTTCGAGGACCCTGAGTCGTCGTGTCTGACAGGCGGAGGACTGTGCATGACTTGGTCCATCATATTTTCAGGAACGGGAGGTATTTCTTCAGGCACATTCTGAATGTAATTGTGTTTACAAGTATGTATCAATGGCGTAAAGAGGCGGGGGGTGGGGGAAGCGGGGGCAAACAATTCATTTTAGCCTTATAAAAAATTTCGAAGCGCGTGGCTGAGGCCACGCACCTTCATCGCAAAAAAATTTTGCCCCCCCCCCCAAATCTTGGGTACATCATCGGTAAGTATGTAGAGAGTTTTACCTCTTCGGGCGGATTCTGACTGTTTTCGTTCTGATCTTGATTCTGGAAATTCTGGTTCTGATCTTGATCTTGACTCTGGCCAACAACATTCCAACAGTTGAAGCGAATACAATAATATTTTTTCATGTAGAAGTTTATGTACCGTCCCACATCGGATCTTCTCAGCACGATATTGCCTTAACAATTGTAATTAATTTCTTGTTCCACACAAACAAGATTGGACTGACTGCAAAAGAGGTAATAGCAACGTTGAGTCTCTCCATCATATGTGAAGGAATTCCGCTCTCGTTGAGATACGCCACATTCTCGGTCGTGTATGACAGTTTTCCACCCCCCACGACTATATCGGCAAGCAGATGTTGTGCCTGATTTTTGTAAGTTGTTTTCTGGATGAGGGCAAGCAGAAAAACTCACGCTGTTGACAAAGTGAGCGGTACATAGAAACTTCTGGGTGGTAATGAACTCCGAGAAGTAAATTTCCAGTAGTTCTTCTGCAACTGATAGATATACCTTCAGCGCCGATATGAAAATACGTTGTGGATTTGGCTCTTAGAAGTGCGTGTCGCCAAGCGACTATCGACCTTGTTTCCACAAACAATGCAGGAATAGAACTTAAACATCGCGATAAGATGATACTGAAAGCTTGCGTTATGTGATTCCGCTTGATTTTCTCGCGGTAACAGTCAGAATAATCACTGAAATTCAGCAATATGGAACAATTGATTCTTTATTCGTTTCTTTTTATAATTTTGAATATCACTCATATCAAATTTTCAGCAAATATTCACTAATTCACAGTATTGTCAAATTCTTGATGGTGAATGGATATGGATTGGATATTACTATGCCTTGTGAATACAGCACGTACAGTGAATCATTTAGATTTTGACGATTTTTGATTATAAGCACAAAAGTAAGCTAATGCTCAACCATTTTCCAAACTTTTTATAACTAGCGAGCGCTATAAGCGCTGTCGTAAGGTACACTCACAGCAAGTTTCAAAGTATTTTACGAACGTAATACTCAAATTTAGGGCCTATGATCCTTCCGGTGTTAGCATGTTTCATGCAAATGCTGTCAACAACATTCGCAGTCCATATCAAGGCAAGCACAAATCATATGCAAAAATTTTGTATCGCTTTTCATCAAACAATCTCGACCAACTTTTTTAGCTGGTCTCGGAACTGAAGTTTTCATGACACCTTTGCTGCGCTCCGTGAAACAGGGAGTGAGCAATTTAGAGAGCTTTATGATGGCCTTAGATATGGCAACATTCAAGTCAGGACGGTCTTGATTCAGGTATATTAGTTGATGATAAAATTTTGGTTTTACATGTAAACCACTTATTCAGGTCACCTCACCTGTTAACTGGGAACCAAGAACTCAAGAAAACATCAACTTCCGCAATGACATCATCATGACAGTTAATGTAGCCCATAGTAAATTTTCTCCCGGGCAGTCTCTCAACTCGCCAAAGTTAGTCCTATGGTATTGCCATCGGTATTTATACAAACGCCTTGACTAGGATCAAATCACAAAAGGCGCTAATGTTGTTCGCCATCAAATATGGAATTTTAAAGAAGGAATTGAGATATTTCAGAGTCGTCTACACCATGAACTCCATGAACTCAATGAAGCATGGAACTAGGCTGCTGCGAAAATCAGATAGTGGTCGGCCTCCCTGGAATCACTACGGGATTTGTACAAAATGCATAAGCAAACGTTGTACATAAATAGAACAAATATTAAATTCAACGAAATGTTTAGTTTTTCTTTGTGCAAAAGTGGATCTAGTCAAAGAAACACGGGTCGGTTTTTGTGGTTGATCAGCATAGAGCAAATGAGACTCTGCTCTCAATGACACTTCATTAAATTCGAAGAAGAAGAGAAATTCTGTTAGAGTACTTTTACCGGACGGAAAGCAGATATCAGAGTACTTGAACTTCATGAAAGATTTTCAATACAAATAGCAGTTGCTCTACCTTATCAAGACATAACTAGGCTAGGTAAAGCCTACCTTGGATAGATAGAGTTATGTATCGATTAATCACGATTAATCAGGCAATATGTGATAAATCCTTGACCATTATTTCGCCAACAGACTGGTGTGGTAACTTTGGCGTATGAAGGTTATTAGTTGAAGAATCGGAAATTGCAGAATCGTTTAGCTTTCTTGTTACATATTTTTTGCAACAGGGGTGAGCAATGATGGAGCGAGGGACTGCCGCCACGGACCCTTTTACCAAAGAGGCCATGGGTAGAGAATTTTAAGCCAGGTACTTTCGGCAGATCGTGGCTGACTAAAGCCACAATCAGAAGTTCTCGTCCTTGAATGTCATATCCTGCTCAGATTCAATACAACGACTGATGTACCACACCATTTTATTAGCAGAACTTCAACCGGTAACAACGAAAAGACATTATTTCTCATATTTCATTTCTCTTACTCAAGGAAAAACGGGAAGGAAGTATGGAAAATGAGGAATGGCAATTGAACGTCAGTATGGATGGCCAGTGCAGCCTCTCATTTATGCTTCTAACTTCCTAATGTGCAGAATTCTGAGGACAATTCGTGCTCAGAATGAAATGGGATTTTGAATCAAAACTTGAGAACGTACAAGTAAAGAAAAGTAGGAAAGCGAAAAATCACAATCAGAGATTCGATACCATATAGATCCTCATAAATATTCTTCGTAAATTGAAGGCGATGATTGCAAGGGGTCGAAACATCGGGCTAGTATCATGCTTTCAAGGCAATACCAAATGTCTCCGAAAAGCGTTCCGTAACAGTGGTGCGGATACCGAGTCTAAAACCTTAATTCATCATCAAAAAAGTACATCTGTAAGTATCAGTACAGTCGTGTAGATTCTTCGGTAAAACAGTACCCTTGCGGTGCTGCGATTCTGGGATAAATTTTGCGCACGAATAGTCACGCCTGAAGTCAACATTTACAGGCGTAGCTATTTGTTCAGGCAAAGTTTATCGATGTCAGCACCACAAAAATACTAGACAACAAATATATTTAATTGTAAAGTGTTACAGCATGGAAATAATTATGTTCAAAGCAGTTTGCGCATCAACACACATCTTTGGTGGTCACAACAAGGTATGAAACATCAAAGTTGCAAAAAGTATGAAATGACACTGACCGATCACCAATCAAAACAGGAGACAAACAAATAGAGCAAGCTATAAAACAGCGGTACATCAAGAGAAAAAACATAAAACCCACTTCTCCGCTGTTTATGTCACCTTCGACATGAAGTCGCGAAGACGGATCGATGCATGGCACAGTATAAGAAATAGCGGGAACAGCAAACTAAAAAATCAAAGCATATCATCAATTTAAAACAGGCAGAACTTTGTCAGTAGAAGCTATGCACACCTGCATAAAACGGTGAGAACGATGGAAGAACTGGGTGAAGAAGTAGCAGGCTAGAATTATGCCACGGGTGATGAGTGGATGATCGCGACGCGTCTGAATCGCTATACCAAAAGTTTTAATTTTCTGAGTATTTGATAGAATACTAAAGACGTAAAAGTGAGTTTAGTGATTGTAACGAGGAAAATACAAGAACAAAGTACATAAAACTATTCGAAAATAAATAAGTGGGTGCAGGTACTCTGACATCACAAACAATCACAACACAAAAAGCATTCTCACCCCTTGGAGACTCAGGCACTAATTTCAGATATTCTCAAAAATGAGTAAATTTCGATCTGACCAACCTGGTAGAACAATGGAGTCTCGGAAATAGCGAATACCACGATAGCCGCAACCAGGATTATGGCACATAACCCCAACGACAGATCTACAAATATACGGCTCAAAAGCAGATAAGTTTCTAATAATCTAATAATCTATCTACTTTAGGAGATTTCAAACTCTAGTCAGTGGTTAGGGAGTAGATCAACTTGCAAACTGAACCGAGAAATTGAACCGAAACTAAACCGAAGCTGAACAGTTCTGCCCTACGAGGCTACAAGTGACGCGCGTTTTTTAGCGGCGAACGTACTTGTCCGCACAAGGCGTTAGGGGAGCGAAAGGAGGAAGGGGAGCGGCGCTTGGCCTGCCCCCCCCCCCCCCCTGGCTTGCAGAGTTCATATTTTCGGCTCGGAGTTGCTGTTTTGCTTCACTTGGAGGGCCTCTTACCCACATGTATCAAAATCTGAGGTGGGTCATTTTTGCCCGTACGCTGCCTTTAATCTTATATATAAAGCTGAATGTCTGTTTGTATGTATGTCTGTATGTCTGTCTGTCTGTCTGTCTGTCTGTCTGTCTGTATGTGTGTACGTATGTTCCGAATAGAAAATTCCATTTCTGAACCGATCCGGACCAAACTTGGCACACATACACTTCGGGCCCCGGCGGGTGTCATAGGCTACTTTTCGTCATCGATCGATATCGATTTTATCGATTTTTATCGATTTTTTTGCTGAGTTCACCTACGGGGCTGGGAGTTGGCATAGGGGGGTAATCGAGCATGGGGATTCCGAATACAATATTGGTTTTCAGGATTATCGATTACTTTTATCGATTTTATCGATTTTTTTGCAAAGTTTGAGCTACGGGGCTGGGAGTTCGCACAGGGGGGTAATCGAGCATGTGATCACCCCCAGGGGGGTGATCAGCATGCTCGATTACACTCCTGTGCCAAATTCCAGCCCCCTAGCTCAAATTTTCAAAAAATCGATAAAATCGAAAAAGTAATGGACGATCCTGAAAACTAATATTGTGTTCGTAATCTGCATGCTCGATTACCCCCCTGTGCAAACTTCCAGCCCCGCAGGTCAAACTTTACAAAAAATCGATAAAATCGATAAAAGTAATGGACGATCCTGAAAACTAATATTGTGTTCGTAAACAGCATGCTCGATTACCCCTTGCAAACTCCCAGCCCCGCAGGTCAAACTTTACAAAAAAAATCGATAAAATCGATAAAAGTAATGGACGATCCTGAAAACTAATGTTGTATTCGGAATCCCCATGCTCGATTACCCCCCTGTGCCAACTCCTAGCCCTGTAGGTGAACTCTGCAAAAAATCGATAAAAATCGGTAAAATCACATCGATCGATAACGAAAAGTGGACTGTGAACCCGCCGGGGCCCGAAGTGTATGTGTGCCAAGTTTGGTCCGGATACGGCGGAGCCGGGTAAGCCAGCTAGTTATCTATAAAACAATATTTACACTTCAAAACCTATGAAGTTGCAGTTGCTGACATCTTCAACCACCATTTATAATAGTGGATTTATAACAGTGGAAATTTCGCATGATTTTTTGCTATTTATTATTCGAAATTCTGGTTCTGGGTGATTACTGCCGGGATCAGCCTACCATCTTCGCAGAATGTTACAACAAAATCCACATAATAAAATAGGTAAAGTCTAGCTGAGTTTCACTCACAAGTACACCATCTGATAAACTTATTGGTTGAAATATTTATGCCGCTGTGCTTATCGTATTTTATTTATTTATTTATTTTGTGCATTCATAGATGCTCCTGACGAACGTGGTTAGTGCAAAAAAAGCGAAATAGAACAAAAAATAGCCAATCATAGAGAGTGTCTCCAGCAGCCACAGTGGATCCAAATTTAGAAGGCAGCAAGCTTAGCCCACTAATTCAACAGCATAAATTATGGTGTGAAAGCCATAAGCGAATTATTTGTGACCCTAAAGAGGGCTGTTGGGTTAGTGCTCGAAATTCATCGGGGAGCTTTGTTCTCCGAAATTGCGTCCATGCCAGGATGGCTTCGGGTGCTCGCGATAGGCGACGGCGAGTTCCTTGAGGCAAATTAAGTGAGAATAAAATTTTTAGTAACCTTTGAATTTTCTTCTCATTTCTCCTTTTTGTCAGTCAGTAAAGAAGCTTAAGAAACTTTAAAGAAAGCGATTTTTTTGCGAAAAAGAAGTCGAGCTTTGCTCTTCTTCTTCCTTCAACATCAAACTTCAGTCCTCCACCCGCCTCCGGTCGACGCTTTTGGGAGGTGAGTGTCCGGGGCACAACTAACTTCACTCTTTTCGGCCATTGCTAGCTGAGACCACCTTCACTTTTGAGGAGCCCGGCTCCACCCATCGCACCTCTGGTTGCAGTCAAAGGTCAATACGTTAGATTGTAATTTTTAAGTGCAAATCGAAAAACTCGAGGGCACCTGCTGGTCAGAAGTTAGCAGGCTTCTCAATCAGATTACTTACGAATTGAACGGAATCCTTTGAAAGAAAATGGCCGCAGGAAAAAAATTGTGAAATTATTACGGTTGGAAAAATTTCCTTTTTTGTTGTACGAATCAAACAGGCTTTGGCATCGGTTAAGGTCGGCTTTAAACCACTTAGATTTCCCTCTACTGAACCTATAATAAACTTGGTGTCAAAGTACGAAGCACCAAAAAATGCGTCAGAAAATAAAATCAAAGTGCCCGGAAACTTTCTTTACAACCTATTGTATGACGGAGCCGGGCGGAACTATGGAAACTAGTTGGAACTAGTTTAGTTTAACCCGGAACTAGTTGGCAATAGCCGGGCG